CAACATCGCTATCCTACGCATGTGACGCGTCTCTCTCAGTGGTTCCAACGCATGCTGCGATGGTCCTTGTATCATCCAATTTCTTCTTCGCCCCCACGATGCTCTCGTCCTGCCCCTGCTTGCTCATCTGCTGCTACCGTAGTTTCCACTGCTGCAGTCTTCACTCCTGCAGTTTCCACTGCTGCAGTCTCCACTGCTGCAGTTTCCACTGCTCCAGTTTCCACTGCTCCAGTTTCCAGTGCTCCAGTTTTTGCTGCTGCAGTTTCTACTGCTGCGGTTTCCACTGGTGCAGTTTTCAGTACAGCAGTTTCCCTAATAGTAATTCCCCCTACTTTAGTTTTTACTGCTACAGCATCCTGTTCTGCAGCTCCAATGCAAAGAACATCACTATCTCTCCGACGCTCACGTCCTTTGCTACAAAATCTTACCCAATCCGCCACCCTCTCATCTTTGTCTGTGCTTGGCCGTAGATGGCTGCGTTCCTCCTCACCAACCCCAGCTCCTCCACGGTCTCGCTTGCAAATAGACTCTCCAGTTTCCAGTGTTCCCATTGTTCCACCTTCGTTGCTAGGGACAAGTTCGTCTTCTGTTTGCAACACCACCACACCTTTTGTTGTGTATCACCGACGACATCCGCGGCATCGTCACTTGTCTGGGGATCAGCAACCTGTTTCTTTGTCTGCGCCGATTCTCTTTGTGTCGCCTCCACAGGTTGTTGCGGTTCCTTTGTTTCAAACGCCGACAAACGGCAGTACCGGTCCTATGCCTCCTGCAGACAGTCCAACTGCCTGCAGGCAGCCACGGTACCCCGTCGCGTTAGATATTCACGACTCACCTGTACAACACGATGTGGTCCCTGCCCAGAGTACACTCCCGACTCCAGGTACAGTCCCTACTCAGGATGCACCTGCTGCCCAGAGTACACTCCCAACTCCAGGTACAGTCCCTACTCAGGATGCAGAGCCCTAAACGTTGAGGGGTTGGAACATGATCTGCCCGGATTGCAGTTGACCCCACAAGGCGTAGACCACATGGGGGATCTGCAAATGGCTGACCAGCATTGTTCGGATGAACCACAATTTTGTGCTCCACCACGCTTAGACCACATGCGTGATCTGCAAATGACTGACCAGCAAAGAATCCAACACAGTTTGGGCTTGCAACACCATCTGGGTGATCTGCAAATTGTTGGCCAGCATCCAACAAACCAGCCTGAGAACCTCACCAATCTCTGTGGTCTGACGACAACTAATATATGTCTTCATATTGTCGACCGCCCGTTTTATACACCATCAGACTTCCTTGCAATCGCCCTTCAGCTTGATGCTGATCTTCCCCAACTACAGCCAGAGGATTGTAATTATATCAGCGAAGGAGGCTTTACCATTGCTGTCCTACAAGTAGTAATGAGGGACCGCCAACTTGAACTACGCAATGCTCGAGCAGGTGAGTGGTTTAATCCTCCATCCCACATCTCTGCCTGCATTGTGCATGGCCCTGGCCATTACATGGCCATTGTACATGCCTCTGACCACTGAGAGCTGTGGGACAACAGCACCATGGTCCATGCCATGATTGATGTCACTGATTTCTTACAAAATGATACTGTTTTCTTGCCACAACAAACCGTCCGCAATCTCTTTTATGTCGAAGATCATTCCTCTGGCCCCGCGCTGCAGCAAGACAATGTACCGACACTCTGCGACCTTTGCCTTTGCACAGCCACAAACAATGTTACACTCGGCAGAAGCCGCCATCGTCTCTGTCACAATCACTACAAGGACATGGTTTCTGCATCTATGTGTGCAGAGGACTGTCTCACTGTTCCTGACCGCAGCACCCTCCGCATCCGGCCACTATATGTCTTTTGTGGCGATCGTTCTTCCTTCATTTTGGCCTGCAATCGACATGTCATTTGTAGGGGGTGTATGGTGGGCATGCTCAATGCCACCCGTCGTGGCAATTGTTGCACTGAGAATGCTCAGCTAGGTCTTCCATGTGTTCATCCACCTCATCCTTACAATGTATGTCCTCTCTGTCATCAAGGACAGACTCATTCTTGAGCCTTTCCTTATCCTCTTTTGTCTTCATCTTCACCCCACACTCCATACTTCCCCTTACTTTCCCTTTATCATTCTTTGTTTGTCTGCTCTCCATCTCTCCTCCGTGTGTTTATCCCCTCCTCCTTCACTCTGCCTCTTTCTCACAGTGTACAAGTGGGCTGTTATGGCACACGGGGATGGGGGCAGCTCGCGCTCAACTTCATCAACGTGGCGCACCTTGTACGTGAGAGGCACGGTGAAAGGGGAGTCAAAAGAAGAATGAGAAAAATGAATGGTTTCAGTGTGCCCTTCATGTTTGTCTTGTTTTTTTCTTTTTTTTGTGTCGTTTGTTTCGCAAGTTGCGCTCTTTTAGTTCATAGTTATGTGACAATCAATATATATATGAAATATATATATATATATATTTGAATTTTGAATATATATCTATTTGACGATATATATATATATATTTATTATTTATATAATTATTAATTATATATATATTATATAGATATATACAGGGTCACCAGCCCGTACGTACGGAGGTCCCCGGGCCGACCTCCGTTCGTACGGGCGTTCGGGGTCCCATTCGGGGTCCGAACACGACGGCGTTCGGTCCCCGCGAAATATTATTTCGAGGCCTAAAATTAAGTTTTGTTTCCTGAATTTTCTACTGTGAGTTCTCTTAGCTCTCTATGATGTAAGGTACATGCCTATAAATTTTGAAGTCATTTCGCTCAGCCAAACCAAAATTACAAATCCCCAAAATGGCGGTGTCAAAACGTGTTCGCGCACCCACTATTTTGTTTTTTTTCACTTTTTACTTTTTGTTTTCACTTTATTGCGGGGGCTAAAAAGTTTTATGATTAAAAAATAAAAAATTAATGAGTTTTGCATTATGTCAGTGTGAAGTACACATCTGTAAATTTTCAGGGCATTTGGCTGTGCCAAAAAAAAAAGAAAAATCGCCAAAGATGGCGGTGTCGAAAACGTGCTCGCTCACTCGCTATTTTAATTCTCTTTTCATTTTCTTATTTTTATTATTAGTTCTATTTTAGTATTTTCTCAATTTTTCTGTATTCTATTTTTGTTTCAAAATTGGTAAGTAATTTGTGCTCAGGCAAATGTTGTTTATTTTAGTTTTCTTCATAACATATCTTTTTTGAAGTTTTTTCAGATTTTTAGAACTGTTTTTTTTTTTTTTTTTTTTTTTTTGGTCCGCGTTTGTCCCGAACGGCCGAACGCATCCCCAAGCGGTCCCGTACGTTCGGCCGTGCGGGTTCGGGCGTTCGGCCCATCCCGAACGCCGGTTACCCTGTGTATGTTATGGAGAAAAATAAATTAAAGTTATTAAACAAGATTTGCCTGAGCATTACATCCGAATTCCTTACCAAATTCGAAATAGAAATAAAATATGGAAAACAAATACTAATAATAAAAATAAATAAATAAAAAAAGAGAATTAAATTTAGTGAGTGCGCGAGCATGTTTTCGACACCGCCATCTTTGGCGATTTTTCATTTTTTTTGGGCATAGCTAAATGCCGTGAAAATTTACAGATGTGTACTTCACATAATACAAAACCCACTAAAAAAGTTTCAAAAAATAATAAAATTGTTTAGACCCCGAACTAAAGTGAAAACAAAAAGTAAAAAGTGAAAAAATACGTGGGCGAGCACGTTTTGACACCGCCATCTTTGGCGATTTTTAATTCTTATTGGGCTTAACCAAATGACTTTAAAATTTACAGGCATGTACCTCAGGTCATAGAGAACTCACAAAAAACAATTCAGAAAACAATAATTATTTTTAGGCC